GTTGTGACTTACCTTCAAAATTACAGCGGTCCCTCGCTATAACTCGGTTCACCTTTCACCTCGCTGTTTCGCAGATTTTTTAGTGCAAGTTTGCATGCTTATTTTTACGTCACTGTGGCTGTGTCCCAATTTAGGGTCTGCACGCTTGAAGTACGCGCATTACGCGTACTACGTACGGCGCGTACTATAAGTACGAGAAGTGTGGAAGTGAGAGGTTTGTGAAATGGGACGGTCTAGCCCTTTGTTGCGCTGTTCAGGTTGCCTAGCAACCATGATACTAACCGCGAGAAACGTTACATACAGCATTGTTTGACAGAAATGAAGAAGAAAAATGTTTTGTCATGACATCACTTTGATTAGTCGAGTATCTGAGGCTGAGGCCACGGGACTATATATATAGTCACTGCCGCGCTATGAATTGTGGGATATATGGGACTTTTTATATGGGACATTTGGAGTATGCATTTGAAGTACACTTCGAATTGGGACAGCCGTCGTCGCGTGGCGGTGACGTAATCGCACTTGAAATGCGTACTTCAAGGTGCAGACCCTGAATTGGGACACAGCAATTGTGTCCTGCGTCCTGATCGCTGCAGAGATCTCCTCCGTCTCTCCTGTGCAGTACAGAATCGCTGCATCGATGCTAGCAGTGTGACTCTGAAGTGCAGTGCTGTATGTCCACGATGTCCACGAAACGTTTTACACCGTCAAAAAATAAAATTGGCTACTTGATTTCACCTATCGCTGGTTATTTTTAGAACATAACACCCGCGATAAACAAGGGACAGCTGAGAAATATAACATTTGAATCCCTTTTCTCTTTTGCCCTGAGGCGTGGGGAAAAAATATCGACAAGTCGATGAACATCATTTACAGATATATTGGGTAAATGCCCAAGACATCTATAGAAATGTAAATCGCCGCTTGATTTATTCATTTGCTTAACTTATTTTGGACCGTAAACAGGACGCGAATAGGACACCGGAAACAAAGCTCCCCACAGGAGTTTCCGCACCGGAAGTAGCATATGCTAACGTGCACATAGTCACTTGAGGTGGAGCGACTGTGTAACGCTCCCGCCCACACACCCGCTGGACGTGACCGCAAACACGCCCCTCTACACTTTTTACGTAGCCCGGCAGCTGGAGTTTTTTTGCTGGTTTACCGCGACTGACGACTCGTTTAATTAAGGTAAATACAACCATGTCACTGTTATAAAAAAGACACACAGCTTATCATCTTATAGTTCTAAAATCACTCTGTTGTTAATT